GCTTACAGTATCGCAATATATCGGGATATATCGTATCGTGACCCCTCTGTTATGATATGTATCGTATCGCCAAATTCTTGCCAATACACAGCCCTAGTTAATATTAACAGTTAAGTGTCTAAAATTTTATTTTTTGGCATTTATCCCGAATTAAATCAAAACTATTCCCTCTTACAGGCAGTGCTGGTTGTGTCAGGTCCCGTGTGTGTGTTAGCATGTAGCATCTTTAGCAGCTAAACTTCAAACTAAAAGTGTCAAAAAGAAACAMAATATCATGTAACAATATTTTAGAAATATTTGCTGTTTGTTGTTTGACTAACTTCAAACAGTTTTTATAAAATCACAAACTATCAAGGAAAAGCTTTTCTGAAAGATTTTACTGGAAATATCTTAACATAACATTAAAGCAATAGAAAGCGTCAACTGGAAGGAGATGACTGACTGCTGTTTTAGCGGTTAGCATTAGCTTCCACTAAGGTTTAATCTGTTCAGCATTAGTGGAGCTAAGATTCTTGGGTTAATGAAGCTAACTTTTTGGTTAGCAGCACCGTAGCACCAACTTCAAAATAAAATATTTACAAACATCTTCAACTATTTTTTGTGTTTTTCTTCTCTTCAGGGGTGATCAGTCTCGTAAACGTGCCAGTGAAGATTCCTGATAGCTGCTGACCTCTCACTGTGCCTCTCCTCCGCTGCGAGCCGTCTCCCTGCGCTCGGTACAAAAACAAAAAGCTTYGTTTTCGTCTCTGTTCGCCCGAGACGACAGAAACACTGTGAATAACCAGGAGATAAACTGCTGAGCTGAAGCCGAGAAGCTCGGCTGTCGGTTCCTCCGTCGGCGCGTCCAGCCCACCGAGACGGACTCTGTTGGAACCGGACCCGTCCTTTAACCCGAACTTTTAACCTGGAAGTGTCTTGTGTTTTAATAGCCGGGGCTAATCAAGACGTTCTGCTGCTAATAATTCAGTCGATGTGTGACGTCCATGAATATCTGGGTTTCTCGCGGGTCGCCTTCACCGAGGAGGAAATCCTGATTGTAGCTTCCCGTCACGCCAAAGAGGCTCGAAGGAAGAAACGTTTACTTGGAGTGAAGCTGTTTTCCTCTAAACGAGTCTCTGAGTCGTTTCTTTACCTGCAGCTGGTTGTTGGTGAAACCTGAGGGAAACTTCTGCCTTCCAACTTTTACAGCCTCATTTCCTGTTTGTAAAGTTAACAAAACGTCTGACGTCCCGATACGTACAGGAGCTGCTCATAAAATCAGAATATGATGTGAAAGTTTTATTTCAGTAATTCCATTCAGAAAATCAAACTTTTGTATTATATTCATTCATTACAGACTGATATGTGAGCCGTCACATCGAAACAAGGATTAAGTCTAAAAGTGGTATATGGAGGGAGAAATAGGCAAATATAGTGTTTTGATTAAAATTAAAATCACATTTCATCAAAATATAACAAATAAATGCCTTAAATGTTTAATTTG